TCTTCGGTTTAGCGGAGGCTCTTTTCACACCGCCCAGAGTCCAACTGGTGCTGCGTCATCGTTTGCGTCATGACGTAACCGTTTGCGTGCCTGCTTCATAAAGCCAAAGCGTGCGGAAACCCCTCACAGCTGACTTGATTGATTGATTGATTGAAAAGTGTATTAACAGCTTGTATATTGGGTACAGTACAGTACAGCTCAAAACATACAATTGTTAAGGGGATGCAGACCAGAGAAAGACTTTCGTCTTGTTTACATCAGGGTCCCCCATTTCCAATTCATCATATCATTTAAGACATATAAGACATATTTGACATACAGATGGCTTATTTACAATTTACATACAGGTGGTTTTTTACATACAGATTGCTTATTTACAATTTTCATTTTAGATTTCGTTCTAATACATCCTAACCGGACATTTAAGACATACCAAGTCTACAGATATACAGTTAGTAACAGAGTCTAAAATGCGAGTATATACATAGATGGGGGGGGGGGAAGCTGTCCATTGAACGACAGGTTGAGATTTGTACCATTACCGGGGCCAGTTTTGCAATGCTCTCCCCCGAAGGTGCTCTTTAAGAGAGGTTTTGAAGGTAAGTATAGTTTTACTTTCCTTTACAGTTGTGGGAAGAGCGTTCCACCTTGATGTGGCATCATTGCGAAACGTGTATTCCCCCTTTTTTGTGCCAAATCTGGGTTTCACATGATTTGTGGAGCTCCCTCTGGTGTTATGATCATGGTATTCCTTGACCTTTGGGAAGCATTTTGACATGTACATGGGTACCATAGAGGTGTAGTGGATCTTGTAGACCAGGCCCATTGCAAGTAGCTGTACTCTGTCGTCTACTCTAAGCCATCCTAGGTTGTCAAAGTGGGCAGAGGTGAGGTGGGTTCTAGATGAAAGGTCAAGCAGTAGTCTGACCAGTTTATTTTGCGATGTTTGAAGTTTTATTTTTAGCGCCTTGGAGGTGCTATGGTACCATGACGTGCAAGCATAGTCATAGTACCCTTGAATGAGTGCTCCTGCCAGAGTCTTCAGGATGTTTTTGTTTACCAGAGAGGAGATCCGGTATAGGAATCTAGTTCTTTGATTGACTTTTTTTATTACATTGGATGCCATTTTGTCACAGGAGAGGTTTGCCTCAAGAATAGATCCTAGGTATGTAATTTCCTTCTTACTTGTGACAATAATGTCGCCCACTGCAACTGAGAAGTCGTCGGATTTGCTGAGATTATGTTTTGAACCGAAGAGAATGGACTCTGTTTTACCCAGGTGTAATGATAATTTATTATCGGCGAGCCAGGTGCAGATTCTGCCGAGCTCGGAGCTGAGGGTTTTTTCAACCTGCAACCTGTTCCTGTCAGAGACCAGCAGGGCTGAGTCGTCCGCGAACAGGAACAAGTTGCAGTCACATGCTGATGACATGTCGTTTACATAAATTAGGAACAGTAACGGACCTAATATGCTTCCTTGTGGAACACCACAGCTCACTGGGAGGGGGGGGGGACAGAGTACAACGACAACAACAACAATGGCCGATTGTGCTCCAGCTTCCTCTGTACCTCTTCGGAAGACCAGATTCCCAGCAGGTAGCTGGTCTCTTCAGTGGACCACTGCTGCTTGTTAAGTTTCTCCATCGTTGTGTACAAGCTGGATAAAACGCGGGCTTCTTGTTGTTGTTCAGGAGTTGATCCCGCCCCTGCCCCCGCCTCGACGTAAGCGTGACGTATGCGGTGCTTTTGCTCTGGCCGGACAATTTTTTGGAGCTTGAAACGAACCGGATTCTGAAGCTAAGAGGCTGCTCCGCTGCGGTGTGAACAGGAAAACCCGGTGCTTTTCAAGCTCCAGCTCCGAACTGGCCCCGAAACACCGTTGGTGTGAATGAGGTATTGGTAGCTGATAACCACACAGCTCCAGTGGCATTGTTTTGTATTTGTAGTGTTTCTTTAGAGAAATAGGCCCCAGATATCGTCCCACAGATGGATTTTCTCTCCTAACGGCCGTGCAGATTGTTATGACTCATGCCTGACAAGCCAGTAGTCTGATGTTACCACAACGGCCTATTAACAACATAAGCTGCTGTCAGAGAAAAACTATATACTGTATCGTGATGGTCCTGAAAACGGCCATTATCTCATTGGCGGTCATGCACACCATTTCTGAAATATCAAAATGGGATTTTGAAAGGTTTTATGAGCCGAGAGGTCAGAAAACTCATCTGATGTTCACAGAAATGTTGGAAACAAGAGGGGAGAAGACAGACATTAAAGTTACAGTTGTGCTTTAGCTGCGAAAGCCTCGGGCGGCTGCAGAGTTGAGGATTACAATAAGTCCGAAAGACAAGATAAAGTACTTCCTTTCTGACCTGGGGTCGTATTTCTGGAGTAAAAAGAAGATTCAGCTCCAACGTGATGCATAGAGGTGGTGTAAAACTGGCACATTCGGAAGAGGAAACATGAAGAGATGATGGCTTTGTGAACTAAGGTCAAACTGTTTTTAGGAATATTTGCTGTACAGAACAATGAGTGTTTTTATTATCTGACAGTGTGGCTTTAAAGCTCCCTTGTCCTGCAGCATGTGTTTTTCAAAGCTGTTATGAAATGATGTTGTTCAGGTGCTGGGAACAGTATTGTAGTTTGATTCGTGCAGAGCTACACACACCGACTGACTGAGCTAAATTTGCCTCTGGAAGTCCAGCCGACGTGTTAAAAATAGCCCTGGCATGAAAAAAAACAAAACCCAGACAAGTGTCTCCTGCTCAGATAAAATACCTGACCACAATGCAGACTCCTCATGAACATACGTTTTAAAGATTGATACGCTATAGGCTATTGAGAGCTGAACACAGCAGTAGACGTTTTACCGAGAAAAATCTATATATGTGAATATTTTAACACACAAACACACACACACACACACACACACACACACACACACACACACACACACACTGGACTGAATTTGCCTCTGGAAGTCCAGCCGACCTGAACAGATGAAATAAAAATATCTAACCACGTGGATGGAAAACAATGAAGACTACTCATAAACACAATTGCAAAAGATTGTTACGCTATCGGCGAGAACTGATTACAGCAGCACTATAAGTCTTTAAAAGTAAAAAAAAAAACTATATATGTGAATATTTTAACACACACACACACACACACACACACACACACGCTGACTGACTGGACTGAATTTGCCTCTGGAAGTCCAGCCGACCTGCACAGAGAAAATAAAATATCTGACCAGAGTCCTCATGAACTCAAATGTTTAAGATTGTTAATCTATAAAAGTAAAAAAATCTATATGTGAAGATGGAGAATCAACTTTGCAGAGCGCGGATCGATGCTGACACAGTGGGGTCTGCAGTTAGACTTTTTACCGTAAAAAAGACTACTTTAAGATTTTAACATGGAGATACTGGACTAAATGTGCCTCTGGAAGACTCATGAACACAACTGTTAAATATTACGCTATAGGCGAGAGAAGGATTATAAGAGAGCAAAACAATCGATAGAGTGCTGAAAAAAGTGGTAGACTTTTTACCGTAAAATATCTATATGTGAAGATTTTAACACACACACACACACACACACACACACACACACACACACACACACACACACACACACACACACACGGCTTAATTTGCCTCTGGAAGTCCAGCTGACCTGTACAAATAAAATACAATATCTGACCACGTGGATGGAAAACAATGAAGACTCTTTAATGAATAAATAAATAATGAACACAACTGAAAAGATTGTTCCGCTATAGGCGAGAACTGATGCTATAAGTCTTTAAGAGTCTATACGTGAAGATGCAGGACTTTGCAGAGCGCGGATCGATGCTGACACAGTGGGGGTCATCGTGTGGGTTTCTCTCCACTCTCTTTCCTCTTCCTACCTTTAGGGTAGTACGCCCTCTTCATCCCGTCGTGGTGCATCCTGGACTTCCTCTCCTCTCCAGCGCAGCTCAGCCTGGAGCTGTGTTCTCCTCTGTGGTGATGATGATGATGATCTCTGCGAGGAAGAGAGTGATCGGACGCCATCATGCGGTCCCTCATGACCTTCGCCCTCTCCGACTCCAGGGCGATGGCCTTCTCCAGCAGAGACAGGTTTCCCTTAAGAATAAAAAGAATAACTTATATGTATATAGCGCCTTTCAGGGGACCCAAAGTCGCTTTACAGAAAAACAGAGAAACACACTCGAGGTACATGGCAATAACTACCAGAGAGGGCAAAAGTACACACATCCTTTACTCAAGTAGAAGTACAGATACTCGTGTTTAAAAGTAGAAGTACTGACTAAACTTCTTTACTCAAGTCAAAGTAAAGAACTTTGAAATGTACTTCAGTAAAAAGTACCCATAACTAGCAGCTGCTTTAAAGAGTACCTGACCTCCCTTTATATCAGTGGTTCTCAAAGTGTGGGGCGCGCCCCCCCTGGGGGGCGTAGAGGCATGCCAGGGGGGGCGCGAGAGACCATGAGGAAAAATGGTTATATAAAAAAAAAAAAATTAAAAAAAAAAAAAAATCATAATTTGAAAAATTATTGATTCGAAAATAATATGATACAGTACAGTACTATTACGTCTGGGTCTCTGTGTTTCATTAAAGCTCGGCTCTGTGTGTGTGTGTGGAACGAGCCATTTTGTGTGTGTGCGAGAGAGAGAGAGAGCGCACCGGTACCGGAGATCGTTGTTCTTAGCTTCTGGTGCTAGCGAGCTACGCTAACGGATATAAGGAGTTTTTTCAACAACAAGGTGGAGGAGAGTCCTCTCCTGTCAGACTGAGAGACTCAGTGAACTAAAGGACTCTCTCAGTGTTATCTCAGTGGGTCTCAAACGTTTTGGTCACCATTAATGTAAACAATTATTTCCGAGGCACACGTTTATATGATCATTATAGTTATAGAAAAATAAGAGAATAAATGAAAAACAGGTATGAAATACTATATGACATTAAAAAAAGAATAAAGTTTAAAAGAGTGATTTGTAAAATATCCATAAAGAAAAAGTAAATCTGTTTACAGTTCCGTTTCATCTGGGTGTTGAGAGGTATCCATAGATCTCTTCATTTTGCTCTCAATGTGTCCACATACCACCTATAAAAATAGCACGTTACCCCTGCTTACACCTATATGCCGTGAGCTGATTATCGAGCCTTCGTTGTAACAGTTGCGGGAACACTGTGTGTGTGCGTGTGGGGAGTGTTGCAGTAGACAATTCCACTGTAGCGACCGGTACATTAATGGGAAACCCTAAATGTTTGAGCACCCTCTATGAAACGTCAAGCTACCCCCACAGCACCCCCAACAGAAGTCTGTGGCGCCGCCACTGAGCCTGACTATGTGTGTTGGGGGGGCCCCGACTTTTTTTTTTTCTCCAAAGGGGGGGCCTGACAGAAAAAGTTTGAGAACCACTGCTTTATATTAATAGAACAATAATGTCATTGTTAGCTAATGAATGTTTCCATGCTGAACAACGGCAACATGACAACGTTTCCATTGGTCCCTCTTCTTTAGAGAAGACCAGGAAATGATGGATACACGGATCGTGTTCAAATCAATAGGCACGCAATGACTCTAAAGAATAATGATCACGCACCAAACACACATTCAGACTAAAGGAACCAGCTGTTTGGAAAATGAGAGAAGTAGAAAGTACAAGTATTTGAGTTCAACATGAAAGAAGTAGAAAGTACAGGTATTTGAGTTCAACATGTAAGAAGTAGAAAGGACAGGTATTTGAGTTCAACATGTAAGAAGTAGAAAGTACGGGTATTTGAGTTCAACATGTAAGAAGTAGAAAGTTCAGGTATTTGTGTTCAACATGTAAGAAGTAGAAAGTACAGGTATTTGAGTTCAACATGTAAGAAGTAGAAAGTACAGGTATTTGTGTTCAACATGTAAGAAGTAGAAAGTACAGGTATTTGAGTTCAACATGTAAGAAGTAGAAAGTACAGGTATTTGAGTTCAACATGTAAGAAGTAGAAAGTACAGGTATTTGTGTTCAACATGTAAGAAGTAGAAAGTACAGGTATTTGAGTTCAACATGTGAGAAGTAGAAAGTACAGGTATTTGAGTTCAACATGTGAGAAGTAGAAAGTACAGGTATTTGTGTTAACATGTAAGAAGTAGAAAGTACAGGTATTTGTGTTCAACATGTAAGAAGTAGAAAGTACAGGTATTTGTGTTCAACATGTAAGAAGTCAAAGTAAAAAAAGTCGTCAGAAAAATAAGTAGTGGAATAAAGTACTGATACCAGAAACATGTACAGTAACGAAGTATTTGTACTCCACTACTTCCCACCTCTGAGCGAGGGATAAAGCTTCAAGAACAACCCTCCAGCGTCCCCTCGTACCTTGGCCATGTCGAAGGTCTCGTCGGAGCGGTCAGAGTTCACAGACGTCGTGTCCTCGTCTCCCTCCTGGAAGCCTCTGGACCCGGGGCTCAGCTGCTCCTCCAGCTTCATCAGGTTCACCATGTCGGAGTAGCTGCGCTCCAGAGATCTCTGCTCCTCCTGAGCGCTCTGCTGGCAGCTGTCGTACCTGAGAGATGAGAAGAAGATTAGAAATGACCAGACTTACAGACAGTTTTATCCCGCAGGCCATTGGAAGTCAAGAGTCTTCACGTCCATACTGTATTTTAATAATGCACCACCATCTGTACTTGTCTATTGCTCATATCTACATTTTCATATATATTAACAGTATAAAGTGTTTATTCTGCTGTACAATATTACATTTCACATTCATCTTATTTTAAAGTTGTTCTATGGGTTTTAGTGCATGTAGTTTCTCTCCCCCCTACCTTAAACGCCTCCATACATACTATGTTTATAACGCACCACCATCTAAAGCAGTGCTTCTCAAAGTGTGGTCCGCGGACCACTGGTGGTCCGTGAGCGCCCCCTAGTGGTCCGTGAGTATATTGGTAACATTTCACATTTGAAATAAATAAATACATTTAAGTTTTCCGCACTCTCGCGGGAATATCTCCACAATGGAACGAGCTTAAGTTTAACTTTCTATTGCATGATAAAGCCCAGGGCAACACCTTCGTCACACATGTTGCCTCTTGTTTGCACCATTTCCAGGCGATTTATAATCTGCTCTAGAAAAACGATGTGTTTTGGGATATTTGTGGAGTTAGGTGGTCCGCGAGTGTTTTTTTATTGGTTAAGTGGTCCTTGGTATGAGGGGTATCTATAGGGATGGGGATCGTTAAGGTTTCAACGATACTTCTACTTTTATCGATACCGCTTATCGATCCGGTCTTTTAACGGTACTCTTATCGGTTCTTTTGGAGAAAAAAAGAAACAAATTGTGAACAAAATTAACATTGCTTTTTATTTAAATTAAATACATAATATTTCACATCAAAAGAAACAACAATGTTTTAACAAATGGTATTAAATAATCTGATGACAGAACTGTGAACAGAATCGCTGAAACTTTAACTAAATAACTCGGTTTCCTCTAATCATTAATGTTTGTATCATGTAGTTAACTCTGTGTGTTGCTGCTAGCATACAGAACACCTGACGTGGAAACGTTACTCGTGGACGGGGCTGCAGAGCTGCTAGAAAGACAGTGGAACCCGGTGCATTCCTCCGTCTGGATGTGGAGCACTTTTGATAAATGTTTAGACACATTGCTCGTGTTACCGCCCTCACATGCTAAACTCTTATTGCACTTTAGGTAACGAGCATCGAGACGGGTAAAGTTTAACCATCTCCTCCGTGTGTGTGTGTGTGTGTGTGTGTGTGTGTGTGTGTGTGTGTGTGTGTGTGTGATGTGTGTGTGTGTGGTGTGTGTGTGTGTGTGTGTGTGTGTGTGTGTGTGTGTGTGTGTGTGTGTGTGTGGTGTGTGTGTGTGTGTGTGTGTGTGCTGTGTGTGTGGTGTGTGTGTGGGTGTGTGTGTGTGGTGTGTGTGTGTGTGTGTGTGTGTGTGTGCTGTGTGTGTGTGTGTGTGTGTGTGTGTGTGTGTGGGTGTGTGTGTGTGTGTAAACTGCCCCGCCCCCTCGCACACAGACGGGGAGAGAGATCTCGTCTGGATTGGAAAGATCGAAAATACTAAAAATAATCATGGACGCATTTTGCAGTCTTTTTGCGTTTTAGAAACGGAGTTGGCGAAACTAAAACTGCAATATAATGTTTGTGTAGCAATAATGCATACGACATACTGTATATTTTTTACATGTCTCCAGTACCAATAAAAAGACCGATAACGTCGGAGCTTAACGGTACCACATTTCTTTTTAATATGGCTTTTCAAATCTAATTTTCGAACATGGTTTTCTTTCTTTTAATTAATTATTTTGTGTGTTTAGTATTTCTTCTCGATGTGTTGTGTTTTCTCTGATCCTGTAAAGCACTTTGAATTGCATTACTGTATGAATTGTGCTATACAAATAAATCGCCTTGCCTTACCACGGCCTTTAATAATTCAGCCGCGGGGCTCGGTTCCCAACGCTATCATATCTACATATTTATACATGTTTACAGTATGAAATGTTTATTTCACATTTAACTATTTTAAAGAAGCCCTTGTATGCTTTTGTGTGTGTCCTATGGGATTTAGTGCATGTAAATGGTCTGCAAAGGCTAAAATCCCAGAGGGAGTTAAAGCATGGAGACATGTCACAGTAAAGGCACAAAATACAAATATGAAACCTGAACATCAGCATAAAAGAGGACCTTTAAACCAACACTCATTCCTGTGTCCATTGCACTATTGTCTTGTATATGTTATTTATGTTGCATTGTTGAAGGACCATAATACCTACCATTTGCATAAACTACGCTTTAGCAATTGTGTATAACAATTAAGTATTTTGAATTCTCTGGGTAACAAAATACCGGACTATTGTAGCTGCTCCAAATCTGTTTTTAGAGCCTGGAGAAAACAGTTTTATCCAGGAAAACAGTCACTGGTTGGATTTCCTGTTCATCTCAGTCACTAATGGAGTTGTATACAGTTACGTTGTTAAGGTAGTTAACAATGTAGTAGACTTTAGTAAAAGCACACTTATAACGTTTTTGAATAGCACTTGCTGTTGCTGTTGAAAGGGGATAATCTTTAGGGTTAGGGTCCATTTAAAGTGGACCAATCATGCTATATTTGAATAATATATTGTAGGGCCATACCTATATAAAACATGTCTGTCAATTTTTTTTTTTAAATACCAAACAGATCATGTTTTAGCCACGCCTCATTTCGCTCTATTTGCTCTTTCCCAGCCCTGTTTTTGCAAGGGCTGATTCTGCTTCTGTGGCAGACTACAGCGCCGCCTACAGGCCTGGCATAGGTACTACAGCGTCTCCAGCGCTTTCGAGCGGTCTCTCATTCCCCTGATAGGTGGAGAGTTGCCCATATAGGCGGAGCACCCTTTTCTGACGCCATAACAATTCAAATAATAATCAGATCCGTTGCAGCCCCGTTTTTAGAGATTTGGGTACGGAGGAAAAGAGAGGGTTGTGTTTTCTGATACTTGGTGAGTTCCCTGGAACACCGGGGACACATATTCATGTATAAAAGACGTACACAAGTGCATTTTGCATGATAGGTCCCCTTTAAAGTCTTTAACTTTTAATGTTGAGTCACAAGTCTTTAGTTTTCTGTCAAGTCATCAAACGAGAGTCGAATCGAGTTCACATCCCTGCCTCCATGAGCTGTGTTTCAGCTGTTGAGCGTATACGTAAGGGGTCCAAATGAAACAATACTCAGCTTCCTGTTCGTTTTTAGACCGCCATTATACTCCTGTCTCTTTCATCTCACACAGAATCTCCCCCTCCTCCCCCTTCACCTCCATTCAAAGCGAACCCATCGAGTCACAGTACAAAATGTCATTGGTAATCATGCTAATATGTCACATAATGCTCTAAGCTACCTGCAGAAGCTTTCATATATCACAAAGGGGATAATTATAAGGAAAAAACATCATGATCAAAAGACTCTTTGTAGTGGACCTACCTGTTGAGGTAATGCATGGAAGTCAATGGTTTGTGAGGTTGTGTGTGCATGAACAGGTGGAAGCATGAATGTACCGTATTGACCCGATTATAAGACGACCAAATCTTGTTTTTATAAAGAAAATAATTGTATTTTTAAATAATGACCCCTTTGCGGACCGCGGAATGCTTTTCTCTGACTGTTTTTACATTTTAAGGCGGTCTTTCCGGGCTCGCCATCTTCTCACGGTACACTCAGTAACACCATATTTCTTTGCTGCTCGACAGTTGTTTGATGACTGCTTCGATGATCACCATTATCTTAAAATTGGCATCGTAACTTCGCCTCTCTTGTTTATTAACTCGCCCTACTTTTGATCTACTTTGTTGGAGTTGGTCTCTATCTCTCCACTTGTTGAACTGTTACCTTTGAGTCGGTGTCTCTCTTGGGAGAACACTCGTTTGGCGCGATCTGTCTAATTACATCGAACAAAGTCTAGACCCCGAATATAAGGCGACCCCTCTTTTTAAGATGTGTTCCTATAGGAGAAAAAAACCTGTCTTATTTTCGGGTCAATACGTTAAGTTGTCACAGCTATTGTACATTGTTGTCTAAATCAATGGTTTACAAGCACATTATGGAAGGCAAGGCTGCCGCATTTCTATGTATTTTTTACATTCAAAGGGGGACAAATGTGTGGAATATACAAAAGCATGATCACAAGACTCTTTGAACCAAGAACCTTCTGGACAGGCCAAAGGGACTTGTTCTACATGATGTGTATTTGAGGAAGAAAGGGGGACAAGTATGTGGAATAAACAAAAGCATGATCAAAAGCCTGTTTGTAGTTGTCACGATATTCATGTCGTTAGTTTCCCTGGTGTGTCTAGTTGTCTGATTGTGTTCACCTGTGGCCCTTGTGTTTCTCGTCCCGTGATTACCCCTCTCTGTATTTAGTCTGGTCTCTTCCTGTGTTCAGTGTTGGTTCGTCTTTTGTTTGTGACCGAGTTCACCGTGGAGTGTTTTGTTTGTCCGTGTGATATGTTCGATAAGAGCCCTTGAAATAAAGGCTTGCTTCACTCCTCGTATCAGTAGTGGACGTAGCTGTTGAGGTGGTGCATGGAAGTCAAGGGGTTGTGTGAAAGTAATTGAGAATGTGCGTCACTTGTTTTTCTATATACATCGACATTATGTGTTTTTGATGAAGAAAGGGAGTTTAAAAGTGCCTTATGGAGGCTGCCGCAAGACATTACATTATATGTGTTTGATGTAGAAAAGGGGGACGAGTATTGTGGAATAAACAAAAGCATGATGAAAAGCCTCTTTGTAGTGTACCTGTTGAGGTGGTGCATCATCGAGTGGTCTGAGGGGTTCTGGAGCTGGTGATGAAGAGCGTGGAGCGCCGGATGATCGCAGGATTGAGTTTCGCTGAGTTTCCGAGCCAGATCAAAGCATTGGTTTCTCAAACACTCCAGACTGCTGAGGCAAACCTCCTCCTCGCTCTCGTCCGCCTGGAGAATCATTTAGTTTAGTATAGTGTCGTGGAAAGTCCCCATTGATCAACTGTCACAAAAAACAGTAAATGGGGCATCTTTTTAAAATCACAACACATCAACAGCATTAGTTATAAAGAAAGGATGAAAGTAGATCGAGGCGAAAGGATAAAAGAGAACAACAACATACATGTGACATATATCACAATCACATAACAGAGACGAGGGGCAACATCCATGATCACAACATGTAACACACACCATATCCAACACAGACGAGTGTGTGCAGGTTCTAATGGCACATTTCCACTGCAGCAGGGTAGCCCTGTTTAAGCGTCCCTAAGCGTCCTCGCTCAGGCCTCGGGCTGCCTCGCTGGCCGTCCGAGGCCGTGGCGCATTTCCATTACAGTTTAGGACCTGGGGTAGCAACGCAGTGTAGGCGGGGCTCCCGTCGAGCTCCCGCTGGATTTGATCATCCCCAATGAGATGTAGGAACGTCGTCACCTCCTCGGTCGACCACGGTGTGCTTTTCTTTGACGTTGCCATTTTTGTAGCTCCTCCGTTTACAAAAATGCTGCAAGCTTGCTTCTAGATATATGCGACGTTAGGGATGGTCTCGCACGCGATCTTGTGACGATTGTCTCTGACCAATCAGCAGTCGAGAGTGTTGATGTCACTAGTTCAGCCCTGGTCTGAGGGAACCACGATTTTATGGGGCCGGAAAAAGAGGGGAAAAGTACCCGCTAGCCGGTGCTACGCTATATGGAAACGCCACCAAAAACTGGCCTGGCCGCTTGAGGACGGTTAAGGACGCTTAAACGGGGCTACCCGCTGCAGTGGAAATGCGCCATCAGTGAACCATGTTTGTAAGTGAGCTGTAAAGGTGGTAAATGTATGTACTGCATGTCTTTGATTTGAGTGGGTAATAATATAATACACTTTATTTGTAGAGCACCTTTCATGCACAAAGCATCCCAAAGTGCTTTACAGACCAAGAAGAAAACATTGTTATTACTGCTGAATTTTATTCCATATTTGTATTCCATTCTATTTCTTTGTAAATATTGCTATATTTTACTATATTTTTTATTATTCTTAATATTTGTTAATGTTATTATAGTGTTCTTATAATAGTTCTCTATCTATGTTTTTTTTTATCTTTGATTTACTTTTATGTACGCACCACGACACCAAGTCAGATTCCTCGTACGTGTCGACCGACCTGGTGATAAACCTGATTCTGAACAATATTAAAATACAAAACAAGATAAAACATCAACAGTGATCCTAATGAAATTTGGTATTTTTTTGTTTTGTTTCTTTCCGTTAACTGTCAAGTGGGAACTAAGCATCAAGTTTTTGTGTTACTCTTATTTTCCAACGATACTGTTGTGATTGGCTGTGAATATGAAAATATGAAGGACAGACCATCTATTTATGTATTTTTTATTTTCTGACGCTGCGTGAGTTCCCTGACACATGTTTATGGATAAAAGACATCAAAAAGTGCATTTTGCATGAAAGGTCCCCTATTAAACTGTTCTTCATCAATATATCACAGGTCTCAGATATATACAGAGCCTGTCTCTGATTGGCTGAAACACCAGACAAATCATTGCAGCATTACCCATAATCCCCTCTGTTTCAGCCCTGTTTCCAAAGTGCTGATTCTCTGTCTGTTACTTTAGATGAAAATAAGGAGCCCCTCCCCACGCCCCTCTGAGAGACATTTGGTTACAAAGAACTCAATGGAGCTCTAGGAGGAGATTCAGGTGATAAGGGGGGGGGGGGGGGGGGGGGTTACCTTGGTTGCTGATTGGCTAATGGTTACACAAGACAACACATCGTTATGACATCACAAAGTGGCCAAAATCTGATCAGCTCATTTTCAGACAGGTTTTTATAGAAATGGATCAAAAAGAGAGAAAATCTTTGTTCCTGAAACTTTCAGAGTCTCTTTCCACAGAGGAGACACATGTTGATGTAGAGACATGAAGAAGAGGGGACACATGTTGATGTAGAAGAGACATGAAGAAGAGGGGACACATGTTGATGTAGAAGAGACATGAAGAAGAGGGGACACATGTTGATGTAGAAGAGACATGGAGAAGAGGGGACACATGTTGATGTAGAAGAGACATGGAGAAGAGGGGACACATGTTGATGTAGAAGAGACATGAAGAAGAGGGGACACATGTTGATGTAGAAGAGACATGAAGAAGAGGGGACACATGTTGATGTAGAAGAGACATGAAGAAGAGGGGACACATGGTGATGTAGAAGAGACATGAAGAAGAGGGGACACATGGTGATGTAGAAGAGACATGAAGAAGAGGGGACACATGTTGATGTAGAAGAGACATGAAGAAGAGGGGACACATGTTGATGTAGAAGAGGCATGAAGAAGAGGGGACACATGTTGATGAAGAAGAGACATGAAGAAGAGGGGACACATGTTGATGTAGAAGAGACATGAAGAAGAGGGGACACATGCTGATGTAGAAGAGACATGAAGAAGAGGGGACACATGTTGATGTAGAAGAGACATGAAGAAGAGGGGACACATGTTGATGTAGAAGAGACATGAAGAAGAGGGGACACATGTTGATGTAGAAGAGACATGAAGAAGAGGGGACACATGTTGATGAAGAAGAGACATGAAGAAGAGGGGACACATGTTGATGTAGAAGAGACACGAAGAAGAGGGGACACATGTTGATGTAGAAGAGACATGAAGAAGAGGGGACACATGTTGATGTAGAAGAGACATGAAGAAGAGGGGACACATGTTGATGTAGAAGAGACATGAAGAAGAGGGGACACATGTTGATGTCGAAGAGACATGAAGAAGAGGGGACACATGTTGATGTAGAAGAGACATGAAGAAGAGGGGACACATGTTGATGTAGAAGAGACATGAAGAAGAGGGGACACATGTTGATGTAGAAGAGACATGAAGAAGAGGGGACACATGTTGATGAAGAAGAGACATGAAGAAGAGGGGACACATGTTGATGTAGAAGAGACATGAAGAAGAGGGGACACATGTTGATGTAGAAGAGACATGGAGAAGAGGGGACACATGGTGATGTAGAAGAGACACGAAGAAGAGGGGACACATGTTGATGTAGAAGAGACACGAAGAAGAGGGGACACATGTTGATGTAGAAGAGACACGAAGAAGAGGGGACACATGTTGATGTAGAAGAGACACGAAGAAGAGGGGGACACATGTTGATGTAGAAGAGACACTGAAGAAGAGGGGGACACATGTTGATGAAGAAGAGACACGAAGAAGAGGGGACACATGTTGATGTAGAAGAGACATGAAGAAGATGGGACACATGTTGATGAAGAAGAGACATGAAGAAGAGAGTACACATGTTGATGAAGAAGAGACATGAAGAAGAGGGGACACATGTTGATGTAGAAGAGACATGAAGAAGAGGGGACACATGTTGATGTAGAAGAGACATGAAGAAGAGGGGACACATGTTGATGTAGAAGAGACATGAAGAAGAGGGGACACATGTTGATGTAGAAGAGACATGAGAAGAGAGGACACATGTTGATGAAGAAGAGACATGAAGAAGAGGGGGACACATGTTGATGTAGAAGAGACATGAAGAAGAAGGGACACATGTTGATGTAGAAGAGACATGAAGAAGAGGGGACACATGTTGATGTAGAAGAGACATGAAGAAGAGGTGACACATGTTGATGTAGAAAGAGACATGGAGAAGAGGGGACACATGTTGATGTAGAAGAGACATGAAGAAGAGGGGACACATGTTGATTGTAGAAGAGACATGAAGAAGAGGGGACACATGTTGATGTAGAAGAGACATGAAGAAGAGGGGACACATGTGATGTAGAAGAGGACATGAAGAAGAGGGGACACATGTTGATGTAGAAGAGACATGAAGAAGAGGGGACACATGATGATGTAGAAGAGACATGAAGAGAGGGGACACATGTGATGTAGAAGAGACATGAAGAAGAGGGGACACATGTTGATGTAGAAGAGACATGAAGAAGAGGGGACACATGTTGATGTCGAAGAGACATGAAGAAGAGGGGACACATGTTGATGTAGAAGAGACATGAAGAAGAGGGGACACATGTTGATGTAGAAGAGACATGAAGAAGAGGGGACACATGTTGATGTAGAAGAGACATGAAGAAGAGGGGACACATGTTGATGTAGAAGAGACATGAAGAAGAGGGGACACATGTTGATGTAGAAGAGACATGAAGAAGAGGGGACACATGTGATGTAGAAGAGACATGAAGAAGAGGGGACACATGTTGATGAAGAAGAGACATGAAGAAGAGGGGACACATGTTGATGTAGAAGAGACATGAAGAAGTGGATTTTGGGTAAGAGGTGACCTTTAAGTGCATACCATGAACAGAACAATTAATAGGTTCAAATAAAAACGTTTTCTGATCCTCACCCCGATGCCTTGTCGTCCGTTAGCATGTCCGATATTTCCTCCAACTTCTGGATATCCTTCATCCGGCATCATGTTCCCGTGTCCCTGTGCCAGAAGCTTCAGGGAATCCACGGTTTCCCGCACCACGTCACTTTCCAAATCCACGCTCAGTTCTCCTTTCCGATTGCCACGATGACTGTAATCGTCTTCATCATCTTCCTCTTCTTCTCCAGCGCTGTTTGAAGAGTTGCTGTTCATCTCGGACTCCGTCATGGCTTGGTAGGCGGCGTCTTCTGCGATTTTCCCCAGGTTGAGAAGCGATTTGGCGACCAGTTCGTCGTAATTCTCGTAATCTTCCCCCGTGCCGTTTCCAGCGCTGATGGTGCCGTGGTGGTTGTTGTTGTCGTCCTTGTGGATTGGAAGAAGCTTTGATTGTCCGAGGGGTTTGTAGTGCTTGTCAACTATCAGGGACGGAAAAAAACAAAGGCTTTGACATCGAAATGCAAAACAAGTTATGAGCATATGTTCACCGCACACGATTTCTGAAATAACAAACTGATGTTTTTTGAGCCGAGAGGTCAGAAAATCCTCTGGTCTGCACAGAAATGTTTGAAACAAGAGGTCCAGTACAGCATGTTCCATTACAAACACCTGGTCCTCACTTTCAAAGCCCCCCCCCCCCTACCTCACTCACCTCCTCATCCTCTACCAACCACCCCGGTCCCTCAGATCCACCTCAGCCGGTTTGCTTTCCATCCCCAAGGCAAGGCCATTTATTTGTATATTACAATTCATACAGTAATGCAATTCAAAGAGCTTTACAGGATCAAACAGAGAAAACACAATACATTGAGAAGAAATACTAAACACACAAAATAATTAATTAAAAGAAAGAAAACCATGTTTAACAGTTCGAAAATTAGAACATTTAAATTTGAAAAGCCATATTAAAAAGAAATGTTTTTAGACGTGATTTAAATGATTCTAAAGTGCTAGCCATTCTCAGATGTTCTGGGAGTTTGTTCCGCATCAGGAGCATAGATGCAGAAGGCTGCTTCCCCACGCTTTGATCTCACAAATGGAAAAGTGAGCTGGCCTGAAGACCTAAGGGGTCTGCTGGGTTCGTACCACTGAAGGAGGTCCTTGATATATTTGGGTCCTAGCCCGTTTAGTGCTTTATATGTGCGCATTAAAATCTTAAAATCAATTCTCTCACCCAAGGCCAAACTCCGGAGCTTCGGGGACAGAGCCTTCTCTGTGGCAGCTCTGGAACTCCCTCCCCCAAGACCTCCGTGAGTCTGAGTCCCTCACCCTGTTCCAGTCCCGCCTCAAAACCCACCTCTTCAACTCTGTATCCATAAGCCCCTCCCCCCCCCCTCCTCTCAACCAACTTCCTCCAAGAAAACGCTATAGAAATCAAATGTATTATTATTATTTATGTTGCACCATTGACAACATCAACAGTAGGTTTCCATTCATTCCAGTGAGTGTGTAGTGGTCGCCAACAACAAACTCTTAGGCTTTGCGTCCAAATGCAAAACATCACATAATAATGTCAGTCCTGCGCAATAAACCTGTTTTTGATTCTGATTCACTGCCATGGTTTCACTCCGCGCCGTAAACAACCCAAACACTAGGGAGGAAGTCAGAAATGACAGAGCATTTGATTAATTCCTGTTCATTTAGGATGAAAATCCTGCAGATGAAAATGAAATGAAACCTTTTTCCATCTTCTAATCCAGTTTCTTCTCATGTCTATCCCTGAATTCATTAGCTCCCATCTCTCCCAATTATGATCCTCTGTTTACTCGCACAAAAACACACAACCCAGAGCTGCTCTCCTCTCTCAGCCTCGCTGTTGATTTTGATTTCAGTATATACTGAGAGCAGAGAAATTGAGAAAAGGGAGGCGTGTGAGGTGCTCCGATTCGGGAGCCATACATATTCTCAGGAGGAGAAGAAGAGGAACATGTGACTAGTCCCTGGAGTTAATAACTCAGCAGAGCTGCTCTCCAGATTATTCGCGAGGCGCTGTCAGAAGCGATTGAGGACACGGGTGTTGGTTTGGGGGAAAAGAGGCAGAGCATCTGGTCGGACACAGATTCAGCTCATCCCTTCCTCTTCTGCAGAGAGCTTCAGCTGTTTGCCTTTCATGCACATGCCCACCATTTGTTGACCTCTTGAAGATTGAGCTACAGTTTTACAAAGATATTCGGCATCTGATACGCAATACTACCCACAAAATCTTCTTGCATCTACAATAAACAGTATTTAATTTCACTTTACAATATTTAATGTCACATTCTGTTCTTGTTTATCTTATACTATTTGGATGTATATTAGGGCTGTGCATCTTCACTGGTCTCACGATTCGATTACGATTATCCTGTCAACGATTCGATTCAATTCGATATCCCGATGCATCACGATTCATACCAATGCGTTGCATCCTCAATTTTCTATATTACTGCACATGGCTTATTTTTCATCAATGCATTCATGTAGTAAATACATATGAACTCTCTTTTATTATTTAGAAAGTGCTTCAGAAATCAATAACATAAATGTCTTGACATTCATTTATAAACCAAAATAAATGAATTGTATAGGCCTAGCCTCCCTATATCTGTGTGTGAAGTTGTTCCATCCTCAAAAACTAAAAAATAATGCTTCTGCAGTCTAGCTGCAGCTTCTAGCAACGGCCTTCTGTTAAAGAAAGGACACTGAATGTCCTGAATGTGGCATCACACACAGGACTTGAGTCTGAACACAGACAACAGGAGTATTTACAATAGCATATAACAACTAAAATACTGCATGTGGGTGCACACGTACATTCTCTGTCTTACTGTTACATAAATCCCATGAATGTATGAGATGAAGTTAGCTTCATTATATCTCAGTGATTAAGTGAATAATAAAGTTTCTATCGGGTCACTATCAGCCTGTCACTCATTATTTTCAGGGAGGGGGCGGGGCTTGGAGGAACGGAGAGGAGACGGTGATCGCGGAAGCTTTTTTCCTCCTGCCTTCACAAACTTTACACACGTATATATCGTCTGCAAATTGCTAGAGGACATTCATACTCTGCAATCCAAGACTTAATTAAATCCACCAAAAACCTGACATGATTGTAAAGCGATTATTTTTGAAAAACATAAATCCCTGTGTCTCTGAGCCGCAGCGACACGGAGTGATTCAGAGCGGGTCCTTCTGCTGTTGGTTCTGGACTGGTGTTCTTGTGTTGGTGGATAAAGCAGACTGCTCCGTGTTTGGTGTTGCTGTGCCGCTGTCACGTCTGTTCCCTGATCTCTGCGTCACCGACCGGTTTGATATTAAAGTGACCGGAAAAAAAAACGTTATAGTAAAGCCGCGGCCGGAAAATCAGGAAGCAACGTTACTACGCTATAACCGATTATCTTCCGTCACTGCATCGAGACCGAATCGTCCACGTCCGCATCGCAATGCATCGTAGAAACGATTATTTTCAACACCCCTAATGTATATAGACTCCTGCATTCACTGTTTCCCTTACAACATTCTCTGCCTTATTTAGCTCATTTCATTTGATTTAACTTATAGTTTACTTCAACACCTTACAAGTTAATCCTGCACTATGTTATTGTTTATTTTTCATTCGTTTTACTGTGTATTATATATGATGTTGCATTGTTGGGATTTAAGATGTTCATTGCCATATCTACACTGTAGCTGATGTGCATGTGACTATAAAGCATTTGAATCTTTTGCTTTTTGGCTTTCATGCACATGACCACCTTTTGTTGAGTTCTTCTAGATTGAGCTACAGTTCTTCAAAGATAACAAGCAACCCTCAAAGACCGTCTTTCCCAAACAAAACTCAGATATATACTTCACCTCTGACCTATGCTCTTGTTCTCTTGGAAAGGTATATCTCCTGGACCCTTGTACAAATATTGCACTGCTTTAGAAGTATTGTAACTGCTTGACAGCCACATAGAAACGTCTATCACAGGGCGGACACATGTAGACAGATAACTATCCACCCCTTATATACGGGCTATTTAGAGATGTTAGGTAACCTTGGGAGGAAACTAGAGCACCCAAAGGAAGATCGTAAAGGCTTCCAGGATCTGATGTAATATTTGCCACAGCAGAAAAAATAAATCTTTTATATAACTATCTTTATTTCATTTCAAATGGTGAGTTGGTTTGATGAGTAGCTCGATTGCAAAAGAAGCTCCAGCACACTGCAAAAAATATCTATTAGCGACATTTTGGAACAATCCCTTTATCAGGAAAATGTAAAAAAGTGCCGTCGCGAGTATGTGTGTGGGGGCGTGTGGCGTAGTGGGTTGGGCGTGTGGCGTAGTGGGTTGGGCGTGTGGCGTAGTGGGTTGGCGTGTGGCGTGTGGGTTGGGCGTGTGGTGTAGTGGGTTGGGCGTGTGGCGTGTGGGCATAGTGGGTTGGGCGTGTGGCGTAGTGGGTTGGGCGTGTGGCGTGTGGGTTGGGCGTGTGGCGTAGTGGGTTGGGCGTGTGGCGTGTGGGGTAGTGGGTTGGGCGTGTGGTGCAGTGGGTTGTCCGTAGGTGTTGGGATCAGGGGGTCACAGGTTCAAACCCCACGCAGTCAGCATGTCGTTGTGTCCCTGAGACTCTTCACCCCAAAGTGCTCCTGTGGGGATTGCCCACAGTATTGAGTATGTAAGTCGCTTTGGATGAAAGCGTGTAACATGTAATGTAACGTATAAAATACAATGTTAATATAATAAGTAAGAACGTGTATGAGAGCTTTGCGGATTATTTTCACAGTTGGATGTTTGTACGCGTTCATTTCACACTTCAGAAGCAAAGAAGAACTTCTTTAGGGCAGAAACGTTCTGAAATCATCAGAACTAGCCGAGTATAATAATCAATTAACTCACCATGCTGACGATTCGGCTCCTCATCTTCCTCCTCGTCTTCCTCTCCCTCGTCATCCTGCTCGTCTTCATCATCGCCATCCTCCACTTCCTCCTCCTCTTCGTACATCCCATCGTCCTCTTCCTCCTCCTCGTCTTCTTCGTCCTCCGTTCGTTCTCTTCCCATTGTCTTCACCGCCCTCTCCACCTCCACCTCGTCCTCCTCCTCGTTGTCCTCCGAGAACTCGTCGTCCACATCTTCATCGCCTTCTCTACCCGTCTCCTCTTCCTCCTCGTCTTCCTCCACTACCTCCCCTTGCTCCTTCACCTTCTCTACTTCATTCTGGTAGTTAGTGTAGACGACCTCTTCCCCCCCGGAGAGGAAAGGCCTCCTCTTGGCAGCCGGCTCCAGAGGCTGTTTCTCCAGAGCCTTCCTCTTCTTGGCCAACGGACAGCCGTAGACGCTAAAGAGAGACAGAGGGCACACACACGATCAGTAGCCATCTTTGTTTTTATTACCCAATCTTTAAAGTCCAAAGGCTTTCCAGAGGAAGGAAGTAGTGGAGTACAAATACTTTGTTACTGTACTTAAGTACATTTTTCTGGTATCAGTACTTTACTCCACCACTTATTTTTTACTTTTACTTCTTACTTACGTGAACACAAATACCTGTACTTTCTACTTCTTACATGTTGAACACAAATACCTGTACTTTCTACTTCTTACATGTTGAACACAAATACCTGTACTTTCTACTTCTTACATGTTGAACACAAATACCTGTACTTTCTACTTCTTACATGTTGAACACAAATACCTGTACTTTCTACTTCTTACATGTTGAAACAAATACCTGTACTTTCTACTTCTTACATGTTGAACTCAAATACCTGTACTTTCTACTTCTTACATGTTGAACCCAAATACCTGTACTTTTCTACTTCTCACATGTTGAACACAAATACCTGTACTTTCTACTTCTTACATGTTGAACACAAATACCTGTACTTTCTACTTCTTACATGTTGAACTCAAATACCTGTACTTTCTACTTCTCACATGTTGAACACAAATACCTGTACTTTTCTACTTCTTACATGTTGAACACAAATACCTGTACTTTCCTACTTCTTACATGTTTTGAACTCAAATACCTGTACTTTCTACTTCTCACATGTTAACTCAAATACCTGTACTTTCTACTTCTTACATGTGAACCCCAAATACCTGTACTTTCTACTTCTTACATGTTGAACTCAAATACCTGTACTTTCTACTCTTACATGTTGAACTCAAAATACCTGTACTTTCTACTTCTTACATGTTGAACACAAATACCTGTACTTTCTACTTCTCACATGTTGAACTCAATACCTGTACTTTCTACTTCTCACATGTTGAACTCAAATACCGTACTTTCTACTTCTTACATGTTGAACCCAAATACCTGGACTTTCTACTTCTTACATGTTGAACTCAAATACCTGTACTTTCTACTTCTCACATGTTGAACACAAATACCTGTACTTTCTACTTCTTACATGTTGAACTCAAATACCTGTACTTTCTACTTCTTACATGTTGAACACAAATACCTGTACTTTCTACTTCTCACATGTTGAACTCAAATACCTGTACTTTCTACTTCTTACATGTTGAACACAAATACCTGTACTTTCTACTTCTTACATGTTGAACTCAAATACCTGTACTTTCTACTTCTCACATGTTGAACTCAAATACCTGTACTTTCTACTTCTTACATGTTGAACTCAAATACCTGTACTTTCTACTTCTCACATGTTGAACTCAAATACCTGTACTTTCTACTTCTCACATGTTGAACTCAAATACCTGTACTTTCTACTTCTTACATGTTGAACTCAAATACCTGTACTTTCTACTTCTCACATGTTGAACTCAAATACCTGTACTTTCTACTTCTTACATGTTGAACTCAAATACCTGTACTTTCTACTTCTCACATGTTGAACACAAATACCTGTACTTTCTACTTCTTACATGTTGAACACAAATACCTGTACTTTCTACTTCTTACATGTTGAACTCAAATACCTGTACTTTCTACTTCTCACATGTTGAACTCAAATACCTGTACTTTCTACTTCTTACATGTTGAACCCAAATACCTGTACTTTCTACTTCGTACATGGTTGAACTCAAATACCTGTACTTTCTACTTCTTACATGTTGAACTCAAATACCTGTACTTTCTACTTCTTACATGTTGAACACAAATACCTGTACTTTCTACTTCTCACATGTTGAACTCAAATACCTGTACTTTCTACTTCTCACATGTTGAACTCAAATACCTGTACTTTCTACTTCTTACATGTTGAACTCCAAATACCTGTACTTTTTCTACTTCTTACTGTTGAACTCAAATACCTGTACGTTCTACTTCTCACATGTTGAACACAAATACCTGTACTTTCTACTTCTTACATGTTGAAACTCAAATACCTGTACTTTCATACTTCTTACATGTTGAAGTCACAATACCTGTACTTTCTACTTCTGACATGTTGAACTCAAATACCTGTACTTTCTACTTCTTACATGTTGAACGACAAATACCTGGTACTTTCTACTTCTTACTTACTGGTGAACTCAAATACCTGTACTTTCTACTTCTCACATGTGATGAACTCAAATACCTGTAACTTTCTACTTCTTACATGTTGAAACTCAAATACCTGTTAACTTTCTACTTCCTCAAATGTTGAACTCATGTTGAAAACTAAAAAAAATACCTGTAACTTATCTACTTCTGCACATGTGGAACTCAAATACCTGTACTTTCTACTATCTTACATGGTTGAACTCAAATACCTGTAACTTTCTACTTCTGCACATGTTGAACTCAAATACCTGTACTTTCGACTCTTACATGTTGAACACAAAGACCTGTAACTTTCTACTTCTTACATGTTGAACTCAAATACCTGTACTTTCTACTTCTCACATGTTGAACTCAATACCTGTACTTTCTACTACTTCTTACATGTTGCAACTCAAATACCTTACTTTCTACTTCTCACATGTTGAACACAAATACTGTACTTTCTACTTCTTACATGTTGAACTCAAATACCTGTACTTTCTATTCTTACATGTTGAACTCAAATACCTGTACTTTCTACTTCTTCACATGTTGAACACAAATACCTGTACTTTCACTTCTACCGTTGAACTCAAATACCTGTACTTTCTACTTCTTACATGTTGAACTCAATACCTGTACTTTCTACTTCTTACATGTTGAACTACTCAATACCTGTACTTTCTACTTCTTACATGTTGAACTCAAATACCTGTACTTTCTACTTCTCACATGTTGAACTCAAATACCTGTACTTTCTACTTCTTACATGTTGAACTCAATAACTGTACTTTCTACTTCTCAACATGTTGAACTCAAATACCTGTACTTTCTACTTCTCACATGTTGAACTCAAATACCTGTACTTTCTACTTCTCTCATTTCCCAAACAGCTGGTTCCTTTAGTCTGAATGTGTGTTTGATGCGTGATCATTATTCTTTAGAGTCATTGCGTGCCTATTGATTTGAACACGATCCGTGTATCCATCATTTCCTGGTCTTCTCTAAAGAAGAGGGACCAATGGAAACGTTGTCATGTTGCCGTTGTTCAGCATGGAAACATTCATTAGCTAACAATGACATTATGTTCTATTAATATAAAGGGAGGTCAGGTACTCTTTAAAACAGCTGCTAGTTATGGGTACTTTTTACTGAAGTACATTTCAAAGCCTCTTCACTTTTACTTGAGTAAAGAAGTTTAGTCAGTACTTCTACTTTCACCAGAGTATTTTTAAACACGAGTATCTGTACTTTTACTTGAGTAAAGGATATGTGTACTTTTGCCCTCTCTGAAGCTTTCCCTCCTGCCACTAACGAACCAAATGTATCCAAAACAAACACAACTGGGTTGCCCAACTTGCCAGTATGTTATATTGGAACTATTAGTTGGTTTATAGACAAAGAATCACAACTGTAATAATGAACATTGACTTGAGAGTTCAAAATATAGCCTGTGTCTTCTTATAATCGTATAATAACCTACCCGCGAATTGCAAGAAAGTGCAAACGTTTTAATCATATGAATGAATGGGAAATCGACGTGAACAGAGCTCAAAATCATCCAACTTTGTGGTCATACTGATTCTCCATACTGTAACGGAGAAAACATATTCAAAGTTCAAACAGCTCTCCAGACTCTCAACTTTATTTGACTATAAGGGTTTTTTGGATATATGGAATGGTTTTCCTAAAATCACAGTTTAAGTTTTGTGACCATTTCAAATCTTGATGCACTTTTGAAGATAACTTTTACATCAGGATGGTCTTCAGAAAAAGCACAAGGTATTTCTTCTTCTGCTGGTCCATGTGTGAAGACACTGCAGATTATTTTTTACTCGTACTCGCTAAGAAAGAGAATCAGCCTCTTAAAAAAAAAAAAAAAGCTTATTCAAGCAGGGACTCAATTACGCAAATCCCATAATAGTCATTAACTGTGGGGAAAATTCAGTTTTAATTGCTCTCAAACAGCAAGCACAATTATACACGGCTTTAATGTGGATTTTAGGAAATCAATTTGTCCATTTCCAAATGAAAGAGCTTGTTTTGTTTTGGGAGGGAAAGTTGGAGGAGGTGACTGAAAACGCTGAGTGTTGACAATAAAATTAAAGCATTTAATCATTCAACAATTAAGTGTCAATGTCTCAATCACCTGCTTCTGAACCAACCTTCATATGAATTACAATTCCATTTTTTTGAATGCCTCTTAAAAACTGGCATGCTTGATATTGATAAACGGACCTGGGGTTTTCGTTCAAATCGAAGACATCGATAAACCAGCTGAAATGCAAGATCAGTTTCCATATTTGCAGAATGTAAAGCACAACAAACAGTAGAGTATCATTGCTATATTTGCCAAAACAGATGCTGTGATTGCAAAACATTTGATGTCATTACGCTGAAAACAATAGAGGACCTAGGGTTGACCCCTGTGGAACTCCGCAGGGAAGCTTGATTTTATGGGTTTCACTTTTTAGGGATTTTTAAATTAGAAACCAGTGAGATAACCAATATTATCCTTCTAAAGGAAACATAGTGGGAGCAGTATAATTATATTTCATCATATTGCATTAGTAAGCAAATGTATATGAGAGCATTGAAGGTTTATTCCATTAGATGTTTTCATTTTTATTTCACGTATGGTCTGTACTTGTTTCAGTTCCTTCATGAAAGGACAGATATTAAATTTACTACAATTAATTACTTGATTTTGTTCATGATTTGGCAACAAGCCAATACACAATTATAATTGTAGGATTGATTAAGAAGGAGAGACTGTGTGAGAGAGAGAGAGAAAATCTATTTCATGTAACACTGCGGCATGTATTTCTACCAGAAAA